TGAGAAAACATACATGCGGAATGGAAAGAAAAAAAAAAAAGAAAAAAATCTTCAATAAAGCTGAAAACCAGTAGGGAAAAACTAAAAATTCAAAAATCTGTTTTCCTTTCCTTTCCTTTTCCCTCAACTCTCTCTACAACAAAGCACCGAAATGAAATAAAAAATAAAACATTAAACACATATGATACAATGCTGACCATGTCAGTTCAAAGAAGCAGCTGGATCCACGAATAACGCCGAAGAATTCAAACAGAAAACTCGAAATCTAAAATTTCGGTGCAAAGATGATCCTCACGTCTGCAAATCTGTAACAGCTTCAGCAGCATATTTGTAGCAGCTCTAACAGCAGATCTGTAGTAGATCTGTAGCAGCAAGAAAGGAAAAGGAAGGTTGAAGGTGAGGTGAGACTTGAGAGCTTGATTGTCCGGTTGAGACCAAGAGTGAGTGAGGGGTTGTGGCTGTGTGCGTGAGTGAGGGGAAAGGGAGGGGAAATGAATAAAGTTATGAAATTAGGGTTGGAACTTGGAACTTGTAATTGTAAGGAGGATGCTTGATTGCTGGGTTGGCCGGATGGGTTGGCCGGTTGGGTTGGATACTTGGGTTGGGTTGGGTTGGATAGGTTGGGTTGGGTGGGTAAAATTTAATTTTTATTGAATTGGGTATGGGTTAGGTTTGGGTTTTATTTTAAATATTAAATTAAATTTAAAATATTTTTTTTAATTTTTCGCGGGGACAGGGATCCCCGCAGGGTAAGGAAAATTTCCCACGAAATTTTACGGGGAGAAAATGCCCCTTATCCGGGATCCCTACGAGACCCTGCGGGAATCGGGAGAAATTGCAACCCCTATTTCTAACCCATTCATCATGCATATCCCTGGCTTGTGGGTCCCATTCTTCCCACCAATACTTAACAGCATCTTTAACCTTCTTAAACCACTCCATATGTATAGCTAGATCTGTAAGTTAATTAATCAATATATGATAGTTTTGTTCAAATTCAATAATGCAAAATTGCAGCAAAGAGATGAACTAGAAGAACTACATATGTAGCAGCTTGATTATACAAACTTAGGTGTTCATGTGAAAAGCATTATTAATATGATTGTGTATATGTAAAATATTCTCTTTTCATATTGGATTAATTGTTAATAGAATTCCTATTAAATTAATCCAAGATTAAGACGAGTCAAATTAGAATACTTCTAACTCAGCTAGGATTGTACTATTATGAAATCGATATAATATTTTTACACAAATATTATAACTATCTAATTTTTTTAAAATTTTTCAGCATATATAATTTATTAGAATTTATCACAATTTTACAAATAAAAAGATAATTAACTCTAAAATATATGATAAAAAATAAATAAATCTTGATCATCATCCATTACTGTATGAAATTTTGTATCATTGGAAACAGAATCAACGATATATATATATATATGTACTAATATTGTTTAGACTTCCTACAAAATGGATTTAATCAATTTGCAGAAAAGCACTATTTTACAGTCCACCTAATAAATAGGAGTTAGTCGAGTTTGAAAAGAGAATCAAGAATGCATTCATTGATGGGATATTATAGGATGGTAGATTTTGTGACTGAAGTGGAGGCCATTATATCCTTAGACTTGACAAACAGACTATCCTATATCCAATACAAATTTGTATCAAATTTGCAATGCACCATGTAGTGTAAAAACAGGGAAATTGATTTTTTTTTTTTTTCCCAACAATAGGGAAAACAACACAAAAAAATCAGAGAGAAGTTTGAAATCAAACAATTTCATTAAGAAGTGTTAGCCTTGAAAGAAATTTATAGCAAAACTTAGCAACTAGAAGCATCAAATTCATACCATAATTAGCCACTAGCAGCACTTAAAAAGTGGAAGGCTGAGGTTCAAATACCTGGACTTGTCCTCTTCTCAGCACACACAGGAGATCCTGAGCTTTACTTTTCTCTTTATAGACCCGCAACCCTGTTTCTCCGCCGTTGAGCCACAAAGAAACTCCCTTAATCGGTGGCTAGGCTATATCTAAAACCTATTTATTTACACTTTCCTATTAGATTATTGATCAAATTAAAATTTAAATATCTTTAGAATTCCGAATCTGAAGAAACGTACTTGTTTGGACAATGGTTGGATTTCAAATTTGGGTAAAATTCTACTCTCATAAATATACTATAAATCAAAGTTATTATTGCCAATAAAAAATAGATTTCTTATTTTTAATATTTAATTTACAACCCATAGAGGCAAATAAAATATCTATCCTATTAAATTATTTTTTTTAAATCGGAGCATGCCACTTGCTTTGTTGTAAAGCAAGAAAGTAGAATTTTCCTAGAAACACTCCTTTTTCAAGTGGTCAGCCATAACATTAGTTGTAAAGTCAGAGTTTTGTGCCTTCAAATGATTTACATGAAAGAGGGATGTTTTTTGTAAAATAGGTTATTAATTTGTCTTAAACAACTTTAAAAACTTTAAAACATCACTTGTGAACTAAAAGCTTAGATATCCAAATTAAAATGAATAAAACACAAACAAACCACTAGTAAATTAGACTAAGTCATTGTAGAACTGGAAAATTAAATGTACTTGAATTTAGAGTGAAGCTAAGTAATCATGATGTTTAGCCAACTAAAATTGCAATTAACATAGCATGAATGAAAAGCTTGAAAGTCACGTAAGTAGACGTTTGTGAAATTAACACTTATCTCAAAATCACTAAATAAACAAAGAGATTGCTATAAAAGTTAAAATTAACCTAAATTTAAGTAGAAGTTGTGCTAAAACTATGATCTACGAGTTATGTGAACAGAAACTATAAAAACTAGAAAGTTGAATTTCATGTGTAAGGCTGGTCATCCGTTTCCTCTTGAATTTTCTCGTTTATGTCTCCAAGTAGATGGTAACCATCTACTTCCATTTGTGTAAGACATGATAAATGTCTTGGATTAGCTAGGCAACTCAACAATAGACCTAATTAAAACTTTCTCCAAAACTGACCGCTTGTCTGTCACTTCATTCACTTGTTCATTTTAGTCGGCAACTTCCTCCTAGAATTGAGCCACAATCTCCACTAACATTAAATAACACTAGATAAATAGGAGATAATTATCGAAAATACCAAATCTAATTGAACATGTGACAGCCATCAATAAGGTTTTTCAACAAGGTCCCTCAAACTCCAAACCACAACAATATTAAATTTGAGGTCACTGAATCATAACCACTAGTTTAAATAATATGGCGTGACATTTGTTTTGTAGTATATGGGGGAGTAGCTCTTGTACTCTTTTTAGTATAAATTTTTGATTCATAAAAAAAAATAATAATAATATGACGTGACATCATCAAATAAATTTTCAATTTATAATATAAACAATTCCTAATTTCAAAAGTTTATCAAAGTTTTCTTACTTTTATAGCTTGACCTTGACCAATCTAGTTTTTCTTCATTACCACCACAAAGAATTTAGACCTTTCAAACTTTTCTTTTTCATTAAAATTTTTAATGTAAATCTATTTTTCCTGATGGCTACCCAAAGATCTTATTCCCTCAGTCGTTTTAAAAAAAAGAAGGGAACATCCTTAAATACTTTAGTGGAATTCAAAACCAGGCAGTTCGTTTTTCCAATTAATGTGTCCGAAATAAATCTGTCTATAAAAGATTTGAGTGAAATCAACAGAATTCCTTGATGATCTAAAAATAGAAGATCCAATAAGGATACTTCCGCATTTTCTAGCCCAGACTGCATTATTTTGGGCAGACCAGACTTAGAAACACATTCCCTGAAAGATTTATGTGGACAGTCCCCAGACAATGAAGAATCCATAACTTAATTAGTTAACTCCCTGTGCAAATGATAACGTGCCTCACAACTAGAACAAAAATTAAAAACCTTTGCAAACTAGGCATTAACTCTATTTGAAGAGCACAATTCAGGCGCTTGCACCCTCCGCCTATGCCTTGCTATCTATGCTCGTGGGTTCCTTCATTAGCAGCTGACTTCTGCATAAACAAGGTATCACAGTAAGAATAGGATAGACAACCAAAGCAAAACCTAAACCTCTCACAAGAGGGAAGGTAGAATACACAAACAGAAACGGTACTTGCAAAGTATAACCAATTTATCAGAGATAACACCAGTTACTATCACTTCTCGGTTTCATAACAGTGTCAGGTACTTACATTGGAGTCAAGAAGCTCTAACTTATTCATTTTGGCAAACATGTTGCCATAAAATTTGGCCTCCTTTTTGTTGTACTCCTTGATCTTCTCCTTCAAAATTTTATATTCCAGCTTAACTTCCCTGATAAAACAACAAATATGTGCATCAATATGCGGCACAAATTGATCATACCAATTGCCAAGAGAGTCCCATCTGTGGTTGAGCATCTTACCTATTATCAGGATCGATTTCAAGAGCTTTTTTGATATCAAACTCTGCCAAATCCAAGTCTGCCAGCTGGATATAAGCCTGTGCCCTTCTATACAAGGCTTTCACATTCGTGCTTTCTAAATCTAGTACCTGTTGAATACAATCCCACAAACAATCAGATCCTTATTGAAATATCACAGAAGAACAAACCATAGTGGTTTGTGAACTTGAATTTCCAAACCTTAGTACATAGTTTTTCAGCTTGCTTGTGATCCTTCAACTTCAGTTTGCAAGCCGCATTGTTCAGATTGCAAGTGAACTTCAGCACCTTAGCCTTCTTCTTCTCTTCTTCACTGAAGGCAGAATCATAATTAATATACTTAACAGCCTGCAACAAGGCAAATCAAATCAATTTCAAGTATTGAATGAGAAAATGTTCTCTTATAAAAGCCCAAGTTAAACTGATATTTCATACCTTGTCATATCTCTTGGAAGCTCTAGTGTATTTGCCAGCCTTGAACAATGCATTTCCTTCTTCCTTCTTCTTACCAGCAGCTTCAATCTTTTCTGGGGTGTTCATGTCCCAAGACTCCTTTTCCTTAAAAGGATTTTATAGAAAGTTTTAGACATGCTATCAAAAATAGGAAACATGAAGATAACAAACCATAAAAGGTTCACTAACCTTGTCAAAAGATACCAACTGTAACTCATAATACAAAGTTGAGTTAGGAGGTACCACAGCCAAATCCTGTTTTGACTCAGATGAACCAAGAGCATACTCTGGTGATATGGTCAGTAGTGCAACCTCACCCTTTTTCATTGTAATCACAGCTCTATCAATACCATCAATAACTTGCTCTGCAACAAAAATTTATATTGCCATGGTCAGAAATCAACTAAAGGTAAAGCAAGAATGATCCATTAAAGCAAGGGAGAGAAGGACAGTTCATCGCACCTTCATCGGTTTTGAACTCAAGGGGTTCTACATCATCGTATCCCTTCTTGAGGAAAAGTGTGCCATCTTGCAGTTTCCCAATCAATTTCACTAAAAAGAAGAAAAAAAAAAAAAAGAGCAAACACGCATGAGCAACTCAAATCTTAATGAATGAGGTAAATTACATTTTTTCTTTGTAATAATTCAATACCTACCACTGACAACAGCTCCCTCGTTTGGTCACTCATATCCCTCTCCTTCCTTCAAGATCTTCTTGACAACCTTTTTGTCAT